AAATACACCTCATAAACACTTTACCTTTAAATATAAACATAGAAAAGTTTTCTAATATCAATAATAGAACAGGTAAATTAATCCAATCCTGTTATTATCATTATCTTAAATTATACTAAATCAAATTGTAATATTAAATTATGATTAATATCTAATCTTTTAACCAGAACCCAGATAATCCAGGTAATCTCATTATATCAGCACCTTAATTATCATCACCTTTTTTTTAATCTCTAATCATAATAAAACAACAAGAACCAACCCTTAACAAGAAGCACCATTAACACACAAGGTAATCATCATACACCTTTTTGTTTCACATTTTGGTTAACTTAATTACAAACAATTAAATCAATATCACTCAAAGTTAATCAGTTGATTGTAGCCCTTGTAAATAATTTGCATCCACCCAAAGGGAAACCCAGATTAATGTAAATCTATTAATATCTTACCTTGATAATTATTACATTGATTGATAATAATACGATTGGGATAATGTTTGTTGCTGTTGTTTCATTTAAAGTCAACAGCAATTAACTTTAATTGCAACAATTAATATCGATGAACAAATAAACAAAATTTCAATTGTTTTGTTTTGTTTTTTTTTGCTTTCGGTTGAAATTTTTACAATCAACAGGTACTCAATGGGCTACTCAATGGTCAGCTCAATGTTGGTGTTGTTAAAGTCATTGAGCTGATTGTTGTTGCTTTTTGATTGCTGTAAATTTGAAAGTGGACACTCAACCAATAACTTAAATTACCTCGTCTTGACCAATTGATTGCAATTAACATCATAATAGTTTGCCACTGTCAAGAAAATTAAAGCACACCAATGACACGGTGGGTACAATTTCATTCATCTTGATATCTATTGATAATAACTAATATTATACATCTTTGAGTTTGTGTTTTTTTTTACTTCTGTAAAAATTATATTACAGGTAATCGTAGTAGTAGTAGCCGTTGGTCAGCTTTTGAGGATACAGGTCAAAGGTAAATGTTCACAAAGTATTTTACTATTGCGACGATGATGAGGATGACAGGTAATGTTTTGCTTCCTTCTCACACATCAATTTAAACTGTTTCCTACTTTACTTTTTCCATCTTCATCCTCATCCTTATCCTCCTCATCATTTACTCATATCACTTTCAGATCTCGTCTCTCTCTCTCTCTCTCACACACACACTGACAGGTAACCAAATAACCATTCATTCAATAGTTATACTCGAACCTGTGATTACCTATTATTCAGTATTATGATTAACATGGGGAAAGATGATATTCCAAGGTATAAATTAACGTGTTTTTCTGGCATTTGACTGATCTGTCAAAACGAAATAAAATAAACATTCTCGTCGTCGTAAGGTTACAATAGCCATCTAGAGGTTTTCGATGTGATTTTTTTATAATATGATACGAGCTGAAAACTGTCAAAGTATGAGATTTAAATGCTTCCTCTTTTACAGGGCGTTTTTTTATCCACCACGGCTATTTCACTAAATATCTCAAGAACTAAAAGTCATATGAATGCCAAACTTGACCAGAGGACTGAACAGAATTGCACCACTCGATTAATGCTACGATTTTATTGAAATAGCCGGTGGATAAAAAACGCCCTGTATTAATGTAAAGGTAGAAAATATTTACCTCTGATTAGAGATTAATTTTCACATTTTTTTGTTGATCAATGTTATCAATACTGATTATTATACAAGATTGTAATTAGATATCAATTATTAACTGATAGTTTTGCAAATTATTGTAAAGAAGATGATATTTGTATCCATCTATTGTATGAGGTGATTGACAATGGGAAGATTAAATAATTCATTAAGCTGATGAGGATAAGGATGGAGAAAAAATTTTCTATTCAAAATGGAAGATTTAATTTAAAAAGATGAATAAACAAGATCATAATGATGATGATTATCTTCATCGTTTATCCTTCATTACAATTTATTCTTTTGGGAGAATAAGAAAGGTAGCGAGAGAGAGAGAGAGAGAGAAAGTAGCAAAAATGTTCTAAAATGGTTTGACCCAAGGTCATTAAGAAAAAGAATCACATAGTCGGTGGAGAGAGTTGGAGGTTTAGAGTCATTTCCTTTTTCTTTGCAAATCTTATCCCTTCTTGGCGAGACTTTGACTCCACTGACCTCAACCTTAGGCCTACCACCTAGTGGTGGCCTTTTACAGGTTAAATTCCGACATTTGGCTAATGTTACCTTTGGCTTTCTCTCTCTTGACCATACATCAAGCTGTGAATACCAAGGCTTTTAGTAGGTTAGAGAAAAGTTTTACCTGTTGAAAATCGTTCTATTACAAGAAGATAAAAAAACTTTTCTCTTCTTCTCAAAGATGATGCAAAAGAAAACCAATTTTTAAGCTTACCTTGACTCTTACACTTAGTAAGTACATTATAATATATTAATTCAAATGCATTTGTTACCTCTTATTGTTACTGGTCATCCATAACTGACCTTTACCTGTTTCATATTCCAATAGGATTTCTAGTGGTTACCAATTTTTTTTAGCCTTCATCTTTATTCTGGTTCCCTAATCATCATCTCAATGTTACCAAAAAATTTGTCAAATTTGATGATTGATCGACCCCATGTCATCTTAGCGGGACTCAAACAACTTAATGAACTTTCATCTTGTATTAGGTTAACTTAATTGTTGCTGTTTCATCTTCTACTTGTAGTAATATCAAAATATTAAGAAGGAGAAATATATTAATAAATTCAGAAGTTTTTTTTTGTTCTCTTCCAACTTAACACAAAAAGAGAACAAAAATTTTACCTACTTTTTCATATATATTGATATTTTCTCTTTCATTTGGTGTTATTGTTATACTTTAACTGAAGATGGAGATTTTTTCATCTTACTCTAAGTACTAATGGTCAGTCAACCGGGTCACTCTTTCCATTCTCTTACATTTTCGCCTCACTGAATTTTCATTCTTTCTGTTCAGTGTACCATCAATGACCAAGTTTTTTTTCATCATCATCATCATCATAGTGCTAATGTTTTCATTTTTATCATCATCACTTTTTCATCTTTCACTGTTTCAATGATAACGATGATAATGATGAGCTGTTGATGATGTTTCTTTGGCACTTTTAGTTTATCATCTTCATCTTGAAAGGCAAAAGCATAAACAACACAATCAACCAAAGGTAAACACTTACCTAGAGGATATTGTATTGGTTGTGGTGGTGAAGCCTTAAGGATTAAAAAGATGATGAAGATGATGATTATCAAATCAACAAGAGAAACAAATGAAAGGTAGGTTAGTAATAACATGAAAAAGTAAACAAGTTAAATGTTCATCAACATTAAAGGTAACAACTGATGAAAAGGAAATTTTTTTACCTGTAATGATGATGATGAAAAAAAAGATGATAGTAACAACAACAACAATAATCATCATTATCATCATCATCATTTGGGTTGGTGTGGTGGGAGTGATGAGGATAAACATGATTATCATCAAAGTGAAAACTTAGCTGACCATGAAAAAAGTAACAAAACCCAGGGAAAAAAACTCTGTCATCAAACAAGAAACAATACTAATCATGACAAAAGATTAAATGTAAATCCATTAAGAAAAAAAAACGATAATCTCATCAAGATTAAATCTCTAATCTTTGAGCAAATTATATCCTGGTGTTTCCGGGTTAATCAGCTGATGATTTTTTAAGTAATTGTGGGTGGATGATGATAAGATGACCCATTGAATTGAATTGAATTGAATTTGAAATGTTTAACCTCCCAAGGTGATGGTTGCTGATTGTTTGCAAATTATTACTTTTACTATTATGTTGATGATGATGAATTTTTTTCCATCATCTAAATGGACCATTAAATACACTGACCATTGACTGAGAGAGAGAGAAACAGTTAATAAACATTCATCTCAAGTGTAAAAAGAGAGGGAAAAACGATAATAAATGAATAATAAGAATGGAAATTTTTTTTCTCATCTTTTTCGTATCATCATGATGATAATATTTTCCATTTCATGCTCAATATCATCACACATCATTCAATAAACAATAAACAATCAATGTTACACTTTTTGCTTACCTTGATTGTTGACTGAATCATTTTTTTTCTCATTCTGTTCCTGTGAGGTAAATGATCAATTATCTGGGTTACAGGTAATTCAATTTTAATTCATTATTTTGACCATTGATTAAACACAATTGACCAATTGATTAGGTTTCTTTTCTTATGATGATGTTATAATAACATTTACAAGCTTGTAACAATTGTAACACTTTGATTGCATCATTTGAATTTGAGTAAATTTTTCAAATGAAATTTTAATTGTTGCAATTGATTAACAAGCATAACTTATTGGTTATTGATTATTCAGCAAAAGTAACAAATTGTAAAACTTTTGATGATCAATTGATGATCATTATCTCCAGGAGATTTGATTATTTAATCTTACTTCATCTTCATCATTTGGATGATGATAATACATCAAGAGCATCAAATAGATGATAAAAAGTAACGTTAATCAAACAATAGAAAACAGGTAAACAGGTAAAAAGAATTTACTTTTTTTTCTTCTCTTCTATGAATTTGACTTTTCCACCTTCAAGAGAAACTGAGAGAGACCAACAAACCCATTTCTTCATCATCATTGTCACCATCATCTTCATCTCTCTCTCTCTCTCAGCTTCTGTTTGAATATATTTTCATTGATTATCTTGATTTTTTTCTTTTACGATAAAATTATTGTTTATCATCATCATAATGAACTTTTGGTGGAAAGTTTTTGTTACCAAGTTTGATTTTCTTGAAGATCAATCAATTTGCTTTGATTTTTGTATCTTTTCCGTTCATTCCTAGATGGAGCTAGTTTTCAGAAAAAAAGACAAATGAATGAGTGAGTAAGAGAGAGAAAGAGAGAGATAAAGAGAGAGATAAAGAGTGAGAGAAAGAGAGAGAGAGAGAGAGAGTGAGTCTCACTCAGTGAGAGAATCACTGAATCAAGTTTAACTTTAGTTCAATTCTCGCACCGGTTATGGTAACTTTAGAAAAAAAAGTTGAACAGTTTTGTTTCTTTCTCCCGAATTTTGATCTAATTTATCTTCATCGAACATTGTGAATCCAATTGGACTTAATAACAATCAGTGTGTTTGTGTTACAGCAGAAGAGAAAAATTTGAAGAAAATGTTGATAATCTTATCAACAAATCGACAGCGACAACGATGAATATGATTTTACCAGTGTTCGGTGGTTTCTGTGTCCTTCTACACAGATTAAGATCAAGGATCATCTTAATCTCTTTGTGTTTAATTGTTTTCACCAATTTAAATTCAGTTGTGTCTCTCAATACCTTGGAACAAATAACCTCATCATCTAATCATAGTCAACAGACTGTTAATCATATTGCTCGTTATAAGACAGTCTATGCCTGTGAGGGTAAAGTGTTGGAGATTATTTGTGAAGAAGGTTATCTAATCCACTTAATCCGTGCTAATTATGGACGATACAGTATTTCAATTTGTAATGACCATGGAAACCTTGACTGGAAAGTTGATTGTACTTCCCCTCATTCATATGAGGTTATCAGTAAAAGGTAATCAGCATCATTTCCGTTTCCGAATTTTTCTTTCCAAATAAGTTTATCATATTGATAAAATGTAAAATGTTTGGTTAATCAACTTGAATTAGATTGTAATTTTATCGTTGGTTTTGTGTGACAACAATTTATGTATCAATTTGATTAGGAAAATAATCAAGAAGCTGAAAATCTGATTTGTCAACAATAAGATTGTAATTTTTTTTGATGAAGGTGATTGAAGTTAAGATTATATTAAATGGTAATCTTCATCTTCTTATGTAAGGATTAGGAGATGAAGATCAAGGTTTAAAACTATTGATAAGTCAAAGGTGATGAATAATATATTCATCATTTGAATCTAAAGTTATTTGCCTTGAGAGGATAACATTTCATCAGAACTTTTCAGAGAGAGAGAGAGAGAGAGAGAGAGAGATAGATAGAGAGAGAAAGAGATGGACCAATATCATCCTCATCTTTTACCATCACCATCTGAGTATTCAATAATAAGTGATCAGCATATGGAATTCCAATGTTGATTAGTGTTTTTTTGACCAATACTCTGTTTCTCATCAGTAAAATTTGATTAATTCTAAGCTCTTCTAATTAGTCTCGGCTGTTTTTTTATCATTCTCTTGTTTTTTTAAACATAAATGATCATTTTTTTAGTTCCATTATGTTCATAAGTTGTCCAGTATTTTCCGTCTTGTCTTAATTGATGAAAAGGAAACTTTATGTTCAGAGAAAGACATTTATTAGTATTACATATTGTATGAGTATGGTGAGTAAATAACAAAATGATGAGGATGGACAAAAGAAAAGAAGATTAAAAAATTAATGTAGTTTCATTGTTGTTGATTGAGAAAACTTTGTAGATGAAGATTAAGCTGAGGAAAAATCTACAATTATTGAGGTTATACTCATTTCTACACCATGAGCTTCATGAGTTTATCCAAACAAGAGGAAAAAAAAGAGGTGAAAGAAAATCTTGTCATCACATTTTCAGTGAATTTCAAACTTGTTAATTATAAGATGATGATCTTAACATATTAATAGAATGATATTCGAAATGAAATGAAATAATTCAATAGTTTCCATGGTGAAAACATTCATGTGATAAGTTATCTTTAAGAAAAGAAAAAAATTCTAACCCATTTTTTATAATATCCATTGTTAGATTTGACTTATGAAGTAGAGATAGAGAAAAAGATCTCTCTCTCTCTCTCTCTCTCTCTCTCTCTCTCTCTCTCTCTCTTGCTCTCTCATTTCACCTTTGCCTTTTTTACCATTACAAAGGATTTCATTAAATCCAAAGCAATCAATTGATTCTCAATGATTATAATTCTGGTCGGTGGGATAATAAAGGTTAAGAGAAAAGGGTGACAATTAAATTTAACGAGTTTCATTTCATTATCATTAAGGAATAAAGAGAGAGAAAAAAAATCTTGATGAAGATCAAGCTGAAGAAAGATGAAGGAAAATCTGAGGAAAAAAATCTAATCATTAAGGTTATACTCAATTCTACACCATGAGCTTGGTGGGTTTATGATACAGGAGAAAAAAAAGAAGTAAAAGAAAATCCTTTTATCTCATTGTGAGACTATTTCGAACTTTTTTATATATCGAGTATTGGAGATTGTGGGTGGGGAGTCGGAAGTTATGAGAAAGATGATGAGAGAGAAAATTGCAATTGAAAACTTGACTGGGTCGATGGAACTGAAGATGACGATGATGAAGAAGAAGATGATGATAAGGAGTCTGATGATGATGATGACAATGATGATTACTAAGGAAAAGAATATAAATGAATACTTGAGATGAAAGTTCTGTTTTCAATGTTCTTTTATATTCTTTTCTCTCTTTTTTTTCTTATTCTTTCATTTTCGCCTCTCTTTTCCTACTTTTCATCTTATTCACCATGAATTCCGGAGAATTGATGATGATGAGAGAAGAGAGGAAAAGAAGATAAGGAGAACTTGTAAATTACATGATGATGATCTTAATATAAAATGATATTCGAAATGAAATTGAATAAATGAAGAAGAAGAAGAAAAAATAACGATAATAGTTTATTCAGTGATAACTTTTTCTGGATTCTCTTTATCATGGTTAACCATAATTTAATAGTTTCCATGGTGAAAACATTCATGTGATAATCATTAAAGTTGATTACATGAAGATCCATTTAATTGATCAATAATTTATTCTCAGATTTAGATTAAAACTTTTTTGTTTCGAACTCTTTTTTTACCAGTTTAATTTGAAAGTTTTTGCTCCCAGAACGAATCATAATTAATATTAATCAATTGATGAAATTATCATGATGATATTTTTCACATTCTCATATTGGAATAATAATAAAACATGATAATGGTAATCATTTCTAGGATGTTTATCATGAGTTATTGATCATTTTATTCAGTGGAAGACAATTTATTCTTGTTTCTCATCTTTATCATGATTCTCTCTCTCTCTCTTTCTTTCTCTCTCTCTCTCTCTCTCTCTCGCTCTTATAAGAATATCGTTTCTCTTCCTATTATTATTACATAGAAAACACTTTATTAGCTCAGTAATAAATCATCTTTATATCATCCATGTAGGAGAAAGAGTGAGGGAGAGAGAGATGTTGACGATAAAGAAGATGAGGATGAGAAAACTGTGATGATGTTCACCGAGAAGAGACAGTTAGAGATGAAGAGATAAAGAAAGGCGAGAAATAATGGTGAGAGATGAAGATAACATGATGATGATAATGAAAAGAAGCAAAATGATGAAGATGAAAAAAAAGGATGTTGAACTTGTGAATTCATTTACGACAATAGCGGAAGAGGATAAAAAGTTCTGAAAAAACTTTCGATTCATAATTCATCTCAATTTTTTCTCTAATATTTTCTACACATCTAAATTTTGAGATGTTCATTAATATTATCATGAAATTCAAAATGAAAACGTTGTAGAATTTTATGTATGTTGATAATGTTCATAATTCATAGACGGTTTTTCATCACCATGAAAGGAACTCAAAGTTCAGTTCTAGATGATGGAAAAGGTAAAACGTTTCTGAATCAACTGAACAATTTTTCATATTCTTATCTATCATACTACTATCTCTCTCTCTCTCTCTACCCTCATGTAATGTTATTTACACACGTTGATATTATTTCACATGGGACACTTACAAAACTAACCCCATGGTGTATAATATTTATCATGATGATTTGGAATCGATTGAATTTCGTTTTCTGTGAACTCTTCGCCTACTTTTCCTCTACCATCATCATTTCACCATCTGATCAATGATTGATGATTATTCTGATATAATCTGAATCTTCACATATTTCTCAGTTTCTCCCTCCTTCCCTCTCTCTCTCCCTGGGAAATAAATAAACACCAACAATAAACAGGCATTTATATTGGTTGATGATGCAATTGTTTCAGAAAAAAGTTCTGAACTTTTTATTTCTTTGTTCATGGTTAATGCTTCTTGATTGTAGGTTGATCGGTTAGTATTGTTGATTTGTGTTCATTTTTTACCCTTGGAACATTTTGGAAAACGATTTTTTTTTCTCATTTTCTTCCACTTGATTTAGAGTAAACATTCACAATTCTTATTTCATGATAGTTGTCTGAGGATTTTCATGTTTTTTTTCATCACTTTTGAATTTGCAACATTTCAAATACACATCATGTCATCAGAATCATCACCAAAAGTCTGACATCACAATGAATCGCTTTTAAGTTTCATCTTCTTCTTCATCATCACATTCTCATTCTAAATGAACTTTTTTTCATCTCTTCATTTCTTAACTTTGATCTTTCGCTTAATTTATTGTTTGTTTTTCTCATTTCTCATTGAGAATTCATCATTATCATCATTCTCATCTTGTAAACAACCAGCATCTTAACCCAAGTTTTTTTAGCTGCTTCCTATTGCTCATTGACCCTTTAAATTGTTTGATTGTTGATTATTAATATACTGAAATCATCATGTTTCAACCTCTCTCATGACATTCATTCAATATCTAACTCACCATGATAGATGCTGAGATTATATTCATTTGTTTTACATGTAACCTTTTCTCTCTCTCTCTCTCTCTCTCAATCTTTTAATTAATTTTACCTTGAAAATGGATATAAGATGATTTAGAAAGAAGAAAATTCCATAATCATGTATCATCTTCTCATCATTCAAACCCTTTTCTTTATTTTTCATCTTATCATCATCATCAATTTGTCCACTAAAATTTATCCGGTTACAGGTAAAAAAAGAAAAAGCAAAAAGAAAAGAAGCAAAAAAACATTTTCAAGGGTAGAAAAAGTTCAGCAAACATCATGAAAGCTCATGAAGAGAACTAACCTTTAAAAGAAGCTCAAAATTCAGAAGCAAGAAAAAAAAACAAAAAGATCACAAAAATTTTAGCACATTGATAATACTTCATTACCCAAAGTGCTAATGTGATATCAGTAGTAGTCTTAGTAGTATGAAAGAGTACATGAAAGAATAAAAAAAAGAATAAAAAAAAGGACCAAGCCCGTGAGTATTTTTCTCTTCATCATCTCCATCCTCATCACCTCACCAAGTGAAACCAGAAAAACAGATACTGTAAAATTATAAGTTATCTTTGAAAAGAAAAAAAATTTCTACCAAGCCTCTAATTCCCTTTTTTATTATATAATATTTATTATTAGATTTGACTGATGAAGTAGAGAGAGAAAGAGATTCTCTCTCTCTCTCTCTCTCTCTCTCTCTCTCTCTCTCTCGAGCATCATTTCACTCTGATCCCTCTGAGCTATCTTTTCCCATGATATGCCACTAATTACCGAATCTAATGGAAAGTCATTAAGGTGTGGCTCCCGGTCTTAATAGTGACTGGCCTTTTTAACCGGAACTTAAGACCATTACTAGACTCTAGCAACATCATCCTTTATTTTCATCTTCATCTTCATCTTTATCTTACCTTTTACCTTTGTATCTTTTCATCATCATCATTATCATCATTATCATATTATTTGACAAGTTTTAATCATTTATCATTCTGTGATTTTTACTGCTCTCTCTCATTCTCTCTCTCAAATGATCAATTGTCATCCTAATGAACATGACTCTCTCATCATCATCATTATCATCAACTACTTTATTTTAACAACTGTTAACCTAATATTATCTTTAACTAAAGTATAACAATCAACGATTGATGATTATGCAGTTACTATTATCGGTTGATATTGTTTAATTAACTTGAATGATAACCTGTTCTACTTGTAGATAATTGGACACAAATTATAATCAATTTTAATTGTTACCTTAATTTACTAATGACCTCATCTTATCCCTCAAACGTCCAACTTGAAGCGACAATAGATTTAGATTAAGATTAAACATTGGAATAGAAAATTTTTCATTCTCTTCTCATTTGTATCTTAATTTTTGACGATAATTGAATATTCCTACTACTGAATAGCTTCCGGTTAGATTTATGAAGAGAAGAAAAAAAAATTCCATTCCAATTGATTAATTAACTTTTTCACTTCTTATTCTCAGTCTGAATTATATTGAAATTGTTTCTCTTTTTTTCCTAATTGCGTTTTGATGACAACAATTTTCTTTTTGCATTTATATTTATTCATCATTCTCATTAATATGTTGGAAAAAGTGAAGAGGTGGAAAATGATGATTACGATGAGGATGAAGAAGAAGAAGAAGATGATGATGATGAGTAGTGAATTCTCTGTCTCTGCGTGATGCTTATACCATGATGATGAAGTGCCGATGATGAAATTAAAACTTCAAGGGTCAACTAATCAAACTAACATGTCTCTTAATTTTTCATCTCTTTGGATTAGAAAAAAAAAATCTTCCTGATTACATTTTTTTCCTGTTTAACACGATAAACAATTAATACTTTTGTGATGATTGTCAAATGATGCTGTTGATGATAATGATGATGATGATATTCAACTTAATCTATCAAACAAAAAATATCTTGCTGATTGAAAAGCTCAAGGTGTAACTATTAAATGTATTACTAAGATGATATTGTATGGATGATGAATGTTGATTAACTTTATGTTCTGATCTTTGAGATGATGATGATGATGATGATGAAGATGAAAAAGATTAAGATAAGATTATTAATGTGAATTGAGGAGAGAGAGAGAGAGAGATGATGGCAAGTAGGATTAACTATGGAAAGGATAATAATGAGTTAAATTGAAAGAAGATGTTGAAAAATGGAGGATAACAAGAGAAGAATAATAATTTTTTCTTGAGAATATTAGTTTATTGATTTGCTTTATTCTTTAATTAATATAATATTCATAGACACATGAAAGTGTTGAGATAAGAAAATGAGAACTAGTAAAGGTTACCATGGAAATCAGAATTTCTTTGGTTTCCCTAATTAAATCTCTTTCTTTTCTCTCTTTTCTCTCCTTGAATGCTTGACTAATGAGTATGAGATGTTGAGACATTTATATAAATTATCATGATGATGATTCGGATGCTGAATGAAAATGAACAAAATGTAACTGAATGTATAATGATATCAATGGAGATTTTTTTTCATCTTCATTTAAATTGAATTGAAAATGTCTCATTTTGATGATGATGATGAAGATACATGAGGGAGTGATAATAAGTGGGAGTTAGTTGACTAATTAGACTCTGGAAATCTAGTTGAAACTCTTTGTATTGTTACAAGAGCTAAATGATAACTGTGATTATGAAGAAAAAAGGATTCTGCTGAATGGAAGAAAACAATTTTTTCTGTTATTCTCTTTAGCATCCATATCATCATCGTCATCATCATCATCTAACTTGTTATTAACCAATTCAATGAGATGATGAAGAAGATAATGATGATAATGATAATGTACAAGGGATAAGCTTAAGATAAATGAGAGTAGACTTTTAATGATCAACTTTTTCTCTTCTTTTTTTGTCATCATTATCATCTGAGGGTGCAAACGGTAAACTCAATTTAAAGTGAATACATATAAACTTGGATAAAGTTCATTCAAGTGAAGATGATGAGGATGAGGATGAGGATGATAAGGAGGAATGATGTAAAAGGTACTAACAATGACTGCATTAAAAGTTCATTTATATTCATCATAAGTATTTGTAGTCATGATAAGATGATATATATATATAAGTGAACGTGTTACTTTTAATGCTGGTACAGAATCTCAAGTCAATGTGAGACTCGTCTCATCAGTATCTTCATCATCAGCATCACTATTATTAACATTATATCCCCACCAGCATCACTATCATCATCTTGGGATAATCTTGACTACTTTTTTTTTTGTTAAATTTTCTTTCCCAATGACAAATGAAAATCTTATAAATCTTGAGAAATCCATTGAAATTTAATGATCCAGAAGCTACAATCAGGCTAGAAATTTACTTCTCATCATCATCATTGATCATTTGTAATAATAATACATTGATGAAGATAATGATAGCCAATGATGATGATGATGATGATGATGACAACTGTTTAGCATGATGATGATTATAAAAAGAAACTACAAATCACATAACTGATAATCTTGTATCATTGGTTTCGGATTAATCTGTTTTTTACATTTCTCAGAACTCATGATAAATAATCATCTCATTATCGATAAACTCAAATTGTCCAATCATTTATCAATAGAATGCTAGAAAAAAAAATTATATTTATATGTAACATTAGAAATGTAAATCAATCAATCAACATTACTTTCATTTCCTCGGGTTTTATATTTGATCACAATAAATGGATAATTGCTAGAGTGATACTTTTTTACCCCTGATTGTTGTTGATTAAATCTTTAAGTATTCACAGGGAAACAATTAAATGTTTAAATAACATACTATTATATTACCAGAGAGCTAATATCATAGGGAGTGGTATTAAGAGACTTATTTGATTAATATCACGCCCTGTTTTTTAGCCCTGACATTGGATAAAAATTGGAGCATTTGCAAAATAAAGGTAATATTATATTTCCCCTTAACATTTAGTCTGTGACATTTGCTTCAGATTATATAAGTCAAATATCACACACTCTCGTATATATATATATATTATATATGATATGCTTAATAACATGATATTAGTTTAGATTCTGACATTTAGCCAGAGAGAGGGAGAAACATTTTCCATAGTAACTGTTGATGTTTTTTCATTGTTTGCAACATTCCGGTTATATTATTATTATCAATTCTATTAGCATATACATTAGATTCAATAAATATAATTGATAATGAAGCTACATTTTAAATTGAAATAAACACTTTGCAATTGATAATAATAATAAGCATAAGAGTATCCATATCACACTCTCACTCCCAGTGGGTTAAGATAATGATGCAAAAGTGGGTGGTTGATGCGGAGGAAAGTAACGGATTTATATTAGTTGATTAATCTTGTTTATTATAATTTCTTTTTATTAATAATAACTTTGATATTGAACATTGGATTATCATATTGATTCAATTTGTGTCAGTTTAATATTATACTTGGTTGGATTCAATGGAGCGATTTTCTTGAAAATCTAAATTGTTTCTTGTTAATTTAACTTGTTTCACTTTAGTTTGAAATTCTTATAGATTATCAAAAATTCTGAGTTGGAAATTTGGGTGAAAAAATGAGAGAATTGGTGATGTTTATGAAGATGAAGTAAATTTCTACTTTTGGTTTTCTTTTTGATGTATTACATGATATCGATGAGGAGAAAATCATGAAGAGAGTAGTTTTTTTGCCTTCGAATTTAGATTTTTTTTTCTCTCCTTCATCTTCTCATTCCAATGGGTTTGAGCCTTTAAATTATCAGGGATGATGATAATGGTGATACGAACCTGAACACCCCTGAGATTTTATATATAAAATGTTTGTAACCTAAAAAATTAATATCATTATTATCATGATAATATCTTTTCATCCTCTCATCCCAATGTTTACATTTTATCCGTTGTGTTATTATTATTTTAAGTCTCTCTCTCACCCCCTTGCCACCCACTCGCTCACTATGTGAGTAGTTGTTTTTTTTTTGCAATGAAAATGATGAAAACAGTTGAGCTTTGAGAAGAGTCCCTGATGATTTGATAGCAAATAATGATGATAATACTACAAAAAGGGTAACTTTTTCATCTTCTCTCTCTCTCTCTCTCTTTCTCATTCTTTTCCATCTTTCATCGTGTTGTTGCTGATGAAAGAGCAAAAAAGAGATATCTACAAGAGGATGATAATGATGATAATATTCATGAGTCTTTATGCATAATGAAGATGAGGATACAAAGTGAGAAGCGAAAAAAAATCGAGCCAATACTTTATGCATCTCTCTTTCTCTCTCATCATCATCATCATCATCCCTTGTGTGTTTACCTTCTTATGCATTTACCTTGCAGCTTATTTGCTATTGGTGTTTAATGGTGCTGATCAACAGGATGAAGCACAAAAAAGCAACATGAAATTGATATTAACATGAAAGTGAATGAGTTTCCATCCTAATGTATATATTATAAAAATCTTGAAGCCATTTTTTGCCACTCAAGGGATTCTAAATATTAATAAACATCTCGCTCCCTCTATATCTCTCTCTCTCTCTCTGCGCGAATGAGTGAATATTGAAATTGAGATTTAAGTGTATGTAAGTGTGCAAAATTTACAATCCATCAACTTTCAATTACTATCACATTATAATTGATAAAATTGATCAACAATCAATTGATACACAAACCAAATCACACAAAATCTAAGTTGATTAACCAACATCAAGACCAGACTTTTTTTGAACGTTTTTTTTGCTTCATTTGCATGATTTTTATTTTATTTTTCTTTATTTATTTATTTGCATGTTGTTCATCACACGAACACGTACCAAACACGTATTAAAATTGGTTCTAATCAGATGCCATTCTATGAGAGATTGCAACATCACCGTTTCTAGCAATATATTTCAAGATCATTGTCCAGGTACCTACAAGTACCTGGAGGTGCAATATGATTGTCTACCAAAAGTTATCCAGAATTTAGGTTTGTATCATTTTGTTATGTTCATTTTATCATTTTGATTATTTAATTCATTTGATTGTTGACAACAATTAACTTTTCGTTTGTCTTAATTTTTCTGCATCTTTTTAATTTCACATGAATTTGAACACATAACTTGCATCCAATTACTTTTGATTGTTACTCTAATTGTTTGGAATGTATTTTGATTTAATTAGTTAATTATCTTATCCTAATCCTCTCAATATCCATTGATTGCTGGTCATCACGTTTCATTTAAATGTTTAATCATTTGGTAATCAATTAAACTTTGGAAATGGTCAATATCATTAACTTTACCTACTAACTAATTAACTAATTGAAACTAATCAAATTTAATTTCTTCTTTCTTTTTCCACCTTCTATTCTTGCCAATCACTTTAATCAATTAATTAACTAACCTTTCAAATTGATCGACAATCAGATGTGGTCAGAAAAACTATTGTCGAGTTGAAGCTTCCAGTAAAATCTTTGATGACCCTTGTCCAGTTACATTTAAATATCTTGAAGTTCATTATCAATGTAAAGGTAAACATGATGTTATTCAATCATTTCAAATGTTTCGATTTGAATAATGAATCAGAATATTTAATTATCTCATCATACTTAACAAGGAATGACAGATTAAGATTAACGGATTAACATCTATTATTATCTCATAGATTTTGTTTTTCTCCTCTTCTCAATGAGATTAGTTAATCTCTGAGTGATTTTGTTTCCAAAACTTTTATCAATTGGGATTGTGATTCATTCATTTATTATTACTTTCATTCATTGAATTAGATTTTATGAGAGAGAGAAACTTGTATTCTATTGAATTGGATGAACACGTTTTTCAGAAAATCAAGTCATGTCAAGGGTTTCATGTTTCATAGAAAAGTTCATGATGGTTAAATATAAAGAGCTAAAAATGAAAGAAGATTAAGAGATTGAGTTTTGATTCACTGGAAATTGAATCATGTTGATGATGATGATGATCAAGATGATAACAGACAAACACACAGAGGAAGATTTATCCTGATTCCTGAAAAATGATTACATTTCCATGAAATCTGATATCGAATAAGTTGATTTTGTTTTTCTCTCTTCATCATGATCAACATTCAACAACAACAACAACAACAACAACAACAATGAAAATGCCCTGGAGACATTTTAACATCGCCATCTAACGGTTATCTTTATATTCGTTGAAAGAATTATTAATGATGAGCAATTCTATCATTGATTCTCATCAAATACCATGTTAAGAGGGTGGAAATTCAGGAGTGACCAATGAACAATTTACCTCCATGATAGTTGAAATGATGATGACAAATTCCGAAATTAACTGACCAACATGAATCAAATTTTAGGATATTTTTTTACCATCATGATGAGTTAATGGGTTTGGTCATCTTATCATCATCTTTAAATCAACAGACATTCAATTCTTAGCCTCAAGTTTGTTAATCAATCTAAAAGTTTCTCAATCATCTTGATGAATGTGTTGTCATCAAATTGTGAGGTTGGAAATCAATTAATCAATTGCAATGAATTAACTTAATATGTCACCTTTTTTATCAATCGGATTAGGAAATTTTTCCCTCAACTTCAAATACTTTGAGTTACTTTTCTCTTTACAATCAAATCAATGGTTGAACATTAGAACCAGAATATCGAACTCTAATTAATAGAACTTTTTTATTTCCATTGTGATAACTTTTCGATTTATATAATTTCGTTAATTGTTACTGGTTAATTTTGGATTTTTATATATCATTCTAATTATGATGCTTAGCTAATTTCCGGTTGAGCTTCATTAAGGAATCAGGAGGTTGTAAGTAATTAGCTGATTGTTGAACTTAAAATTGCATCAAAATGATTGGAAAAACTTTTGCTAATTATTTTGTGACCTTTTAATCAGTTTTATCATTAATTAATTGCTGGAAATAACATTTTTAACCCATTAATTTAAGTTAAACTTATCCATTGATTGAATCAGGTTATAATTGTTCAAGTCTCATCAATAGTAAGTTAATTGTTTAAGATGAACACAGTTTGTCAAATTGTCTGATATTTTCTTGATTTGAAAAGTTAATTGTTGTTAGTGAAAAAGTTTATTTGTGTTGCCATTTTAATCAATTGCAATTTAGTTTAGTGTGTTTTTAGGTTTTGATTGTTGTGAATTTTTTTTTCTTGGTCTTTAATTGTGTGATTATTTCCTAAATTTTGAGACAAATATTTGATTCACTTTAATCATGATTATATTGAACATGAATCAATCTTTGAACAATTAAATCTGGTGATCAGGTTAATGAAACTGTAACCTGAACAATAAGTTCTGGAGGTGAGACAATGACAATAAATGAGAAATATTATTCAGGAAGTGAGATAAACATTGACGATGATTAAGTTGATACAAAGTTGTCAGTGAGATGAAGATTATCTCATTTGTGACATCATCTCAATTTATAGACAAAGATGATGATAATTTATCAAAATATTTCCTCTCTTTAGTTTTATCAGTACAATTGGCTGTGATAAATTTACTCCATTACCATGGTGATGGAGGTTATCCTTCATCCTTCATCTCTTACCAATCAGATTAATCAGAAACGTTTGAATCTCTCATCATCATCAACAACAACAACAAGAGCAAATACTATTAATAATAAATGATACAATTGATGAAGATAAAGATAAACATTGATGAAAATATTATCTCCTTTGGATGTTACCTTTTTCTCAGTCTCATTTTCATAACAAAATCTTTTTTTCTTTCTCATCTTCCTGAAGATAATAATGAAGATGCTAATGCTTAATCCTCTAGTAAAAATCGGGATTAGTTTGTTTTTCTCTTCCACGATATTCTTTCTCTCTCTCTCTCTCTCTCTCTCCCTCCCTCTTGACTCACATATTCACACAAATTCGTCTACTTTTCATCATCTTCTAACCTTAATCCCAGAATAATTTCTGAATCAATTCCAATCTCAACATTTCTCTCTCTCATCATCCCTGCATCTTCAATTACAACTTACTCTCTCTCTCTCTCTCTCAAAGTTGATCTTCTTATATTTCAAGAGCCTGTTGATTGTTATTGTATCTTTATCGAAACAACAATAAGATATTAATATTAATAAATATAAAAAAAGAACCGTGAAGATGAAAAAGAAAAAATATTCTCTTCATCCGCATCTTTTATCTTTTGTCTACTGATCTTTTCATCTCTTTCATTGCCTCTCTCTCTCTCTCACTCACTCACTCACTCACTCACTCACTCACTCTTTCAAATATTATCGTCATCATTGTTGCACATTTAATATCAATCTATTTGTATCAATCTGTAATATCAACATCTTTTTATTATTTCATCTTCATCTTTTCCTCCTATTGCTCATCTTCAATTTACTTTCCTTATTGATATTATTTTATATTGGATTTCAAGTCATCACCATTGACATTGATTGGATAATAAACATAGACACACACACACACATTCACTTGAAATCTTACTGATTATCATTGTTGTCTGTTTATCTGCCTATGGACAATTATTATTATCTTATTATCTTCTTGATCATCAATTGCAACATGATGCACACTCACCAAGTAATTTTTTTGCTCCCTTCATTTATATTACAATTTGTTCAGATGAAAAGGTTACCATTGTGTGTATATGTCGATTTCCATGAATCCATCTAACGCTCAGGGAGTGATACAAACTCCCTGGCAATGGGTTGATATTGTTATTGTTATGTCTCTCTCTCTCTCTCTCTCTCTCTTTATTTATTGTGCTGGCCATGTATAAGTCCTTAGGCAAATTGAAGGAGTGATTTAGGTGAAGGTGGAGTGGGTGGTGAACAAGTTAATTGAATGTGTTCGAGTGGAGCTTTGTAAGTCTATTCCTTGTATGTATTACCTTTCAAAACTTTCATCTTCATCTCGATCTGCATCATCCTCATATAGATTGAAACATTTTCCATTGATCTTTACTAATATTAGATTATATTTTTTTCATCTCTCTCTCTCTCCTCCTTTACCTTGTTAATATTTCATAGTGCAACTGATTTGCTTTTTTCCCAATCTTTTGTTGTTGCTACCTTTTTGCATCATGTTTATGAGAGACTGTATCATCTCTTAGACTCATAAGGGAAATTTAGATGAATAAGAAATGAGAAAACAGGATAAGAAAGGGAGAGAACTTTGATTGAACAACAAGGATGAAGATGAAGAAGAAAAAAATTGTGGCAAAGTTATCTTTGTTTACTCTTCCTCTTCATCACCATCGACACCGCATCACTTTCTCCATCAGTAGTAAATCTCATTTGAGGTTCGAGTCTTTTTTTTTACCTCTTTCACTTGAATTAAATTACAACTGATGAGATGATCATCATCTTAACCTTGATAACTACTAGAATGATAATGATTCACTAAAAGGAAAAAAGGGTTAAAATGATGAAGATGAGGAAAAGGGAGATGGAAAATACTGAATAAACTATGAGATTACCTTATGGAAACACTTTACTCTAATTTCCGGGTTTCCATTCACATGATCACAACTTTTTCATTGTGATGATAAAATTTTCATATGATAATCTTTATCCTCTCCTCCTCATCCTCCTTCATCTCATCTCCATCCTCATCCCTAATGTCTAATGATGAAACTTTTCACCAACAATTTATTAACCTCAATTTGCTTGTTTCTCCTGCTCTTTAAATTAATCCAAATTGTCTGTTGATTAATCTCATTTTAATCATTATTAATCATTAATACTTGATTGTGTGTGTACACCTTTCATTGTATTATCATTATGATTGTAACCAGTAACCAAACAAAAATGATTATCAAATTATCCGTATAATGATTAAATAAATCAATATGTTTTTATCATGAGAATATCATGTTAATGATTATAATGATAATGATGATGTTACAATGATAATAATAATAGTAGTATCAATTTCTGACTCATCAAATTACAAACAAACATAATAACTAAATCATTCTGACTCATTCATTAATTCCTAGTGAATATATATACAAACCAATAAGTAAAAGAAAAAAAAAGTTCATTGATGATACGATTACTTTTCATTACTTCTTGAGATAATATGAATAGGAAAATCCAATTTTTTGGAATACACATGATAACAATGCTGGAAATTCATGAAATACTGATTACAGGGTAAAAGGAAACTCTGATTGTTTGAATAATAAGATTCAATGAGAGAAACTGATGAAACTATCGAAATGAACAAATATGATTAACGTAATATTTTTATCAATTGAAAAGTTGATCATGAAATGAAAATATTGATGCAAATGTAATGATAATATAATTTGTCGAGATGAAATGAAAATGATCAACTAAATGCTGACAACATTTATCATCCTATTGGTAGAAATATGAAAGTGTAAAGTTACAATTGATTGTAAACCGATTGGATAATAACTATTGCCAATAGATTTCCAATCAATCGCAATTCATTTTTTTTACTTTATCTGCAATAACAAACACTTTCTATCATGATGATGATATTTTCTCTCTCTCTCTCTCTCTCATTTTCTCTCTTTGGTAAGATTATTAGTAACCAAGTGAATCTAATCCAATAGAATTTGATACATATTTTGTTCTCTGTGCAATTGTTTGCTCCAAATATAACTGGGATGACTTTCCACCCTCTTCCTTTTCCTCCATCTCCTCATCCCTATTATCGGGTCAATATGGTTGTAAATTGGGCAAAGAGAAACCATTTATCACTACTGACCAGCAATACTAACCTTGTTTACTCCCAACAATTGCATTCACTTTATAAAGGTTATCATTATTATTTTTTACCAAAGGGAAACAATCAAAGTGGAAAAAAAGTTCAATTTCATCATGATGATTACTCACAATCTGATTATTATCAAGGTGTAGTGAATGTTGTTAGAGTTGAAATCATGATGAGTTTGTCATCATCTGAATCATTTTTTTTTCTTATTTCCGTTATTTTTGCCAAGAGAGGTAGAAATAAATTGTTGACATTAGAGGGAAAAAACTGGAAACGGAAATGATGAGTTTCCATCATCAGATTTTTCCACTTTTTTATGATTAAATATTTTTCAGGCTTCAAAGATTTGAAGATAATTGTCTACAATCAAATGAGTTATATAAAATAATCGAACACTTATAATTAAATTCATCACAATTTATTAATTGTTTGTTTGTTTTTTCACCTTTAGAATCAACAGTTGATAGTAAATCTTGGTTATCAACGCATAAATTGAAACCTGGAAATTCAGGTTTATCATCATCTTCCTCATTGAGACATGATGATGTTTCTCATCCATTATCACCAACCTCTCGTCCGCCCATCATAGTGCCAATAACAAGTACTACTCGTGCTAGTACAACATCACCACCTCCACCGGTGGTTTCACCATCATCATCAGGATTATCACTTGGTGGTGGTTCAATTAATTTACGTACATTTACATCAACAATGTTTCCACCATCAACAGTATGGAAACAATCAAGTGATAATTTCCCATCTCCTCCTCCTCCTCCACCAACATCATCATCATCAACAACAAAAGCACCTTCAATAGCAAACCAATTTCATCATTGGAATACCAATGGTGGAAACGGAAATGATGCCATCAACCAAGCAGTAACCATTTCAACATCAACCCCTTGGAAATCAACTAAGGTTAAGATAACAAATGGAAAACAACAACCAACACCAATGCCAAATTATCATTCAACAATATTGCCAAATACATTGATTGTATCATCAGCAATCAACAATAAGCACCAATCATTAGGATCAATGGCATCATCATCATCATCATCATCGACTACAACAACAACATTAGCACCTTCATATGAAGGTGATGGCTTGAAACGAGCAACAACAATATTCCCTTGGTTGAAAGCCCGATTACCTCCCAATTCTGGAACACAATCAGCTGGTGATGATCATCATGATATTCATGATTCATTTTCCCAATCAACATCTTCATCAGATAGTGATTCACATTATTCTGGTTATCCTTCCGGTTCCATTTGGAGTTTTTCACCAAATATCAATGCAAGTGCTTCCAAATTACCTTCATCATCAAGCTCAGACAATTCTCGTATCAATCGTTCCCGAACAACTAATTTATTGATCATCGTATTAATCTCATCAATAATTGCCATCATCATCTATAGTATAACATTATTACTGTTAATCATTTCAAGGTAAGAAAAACAATCAATTAATCATCGTAATTATGATTAAAAACTTGACACAATTTCATTGAACCAGAAAAAAAATTAAACATGTAAACATTGAATTTGCATAAATTTGATCCATGCTAATAACTATTTGAACAGAAAAGTTTCAATTTCATTGAAACAATTTAGACACAATTTATCTTTCAATTTGCAATTAGATTGTAAAGTAATTTCATCATGAAAATGTTTCGATATGATTTTTGATTGGAATATTTTTTTCTCTCTTTTCTTATCCAATATTTTTCTTCAGGATTACCAATCATCGGCAGATTATCCATAAGAATATCTGTTTTATATTAATCTTATCAAGTGTTATCCTTTCAATCATAAGCCTTGAACCTTGGACAGAATCAACATCATCCATATGTAATACCATAGGAATTTGTCTTCACTTTCTTGTTCAAGCGATTTTCAATTTAATCTTTATTGACTCAATTCGGGTTTACTGCTGCTCAGGTTCACCTTTACCTGGATCATCATCATTGACCTCTTCATGCTCAAGCTCAAATTCATGTTATAATAACAATAACAACAACAATATTAATAATAATAACAATACCACATCATCAACTTCATCAACTTCATCAAACTCATCAGCAACATCTTCAACCTCTTTCTCATCCTCATCACCTTCAGCCGCATCTTCAGCATCCTCATCATCAACAACCGCCTTCTCATCTCACCTTGACTGTGATAATAATAAACAAATTGACTCACCATCATCAACTTTATCATCAACAGTAAACCACAATCAGCCCACCTCAATATCAACAACTAACGGTAAACAATCAACCCCCACAACCACAACCATTCAATCAGCTCTTAGTTTAATATCAAAAGAATCGGTAACCCTTTACCTTGTTACCTATGGTTTACCTGTTATCACAATAGGAACAAGTTTTCTAATCGATCCAACTTTAGTTTATCGTGGATTAACACCAGGATCAGCTGGTGGATTAACATCATCATCATCCTCATCTTCCAATAGTTTATTAATCACTTTATGTTGGTTTTCATCAACATCAAATCATTTCTTTCAAACATCACTCTGGGTATTTTTACCAACCTTTTTATCAATCTTTTTCACTGCCCTTCTAATTTTGCTGACAATTTATGCTAAAATGAGCCCATCATCATCATCATCATCCCCACAACCACCACCACCACCATCAATCCAAGAAATAGGTTCATCCATTGTACCTCCACCTTTAAACCTTCAACCACCACCATCATCAGGATTACCAATATATGGAAGTGCTCATTCCCATTATAATCAACAACAAGCCTCTCAAAATCAATCAAACAATTTAATTGATTATAAGACTGGTTTAAATGTAACTGATTCATCATCTGTATCAATAATTCAACAATCAGGTTACAATGGTAATAATACTCAACAAAGGACTGTACCAACAACAGGTAATCGCCATAATTCAGGTCATCGTCATCGACACCGTAACCATAATAATAATCATCGGCATCATCATCATCATCATCATCATCACCATCGTCGTCAATTTGAAAACAATTGGCAGCCCACACTTTATTTATTACTATTAGAATGTTGTTTCTGGTTAATGTTTAACATTTACCTGACCACATCGATAACCAATCTAACGGTGACCATTATTTTCAGTTTACTTAATGTCATCTCAGCGGCGGGACTTTGTACCATTACATTTGTCCGTAATCGACGGGCAAGACATAATGTACGTAAATGGTTGACGACAGTTAAATGGTTACCCTCGTGTTTAAGGTTTAACGGTTCATCCAATATTGGACCATCAGGTACAACAGGTCCACTTTCATCAGGTCATAATCTTGGTTCAAATGGAGCAGCACCGATGACCGCTTGTTTCTATTCTCTTGACCCTTCACATTTAATGTCACCACCAAGTCCAATTATTAAGTTAACCTCATCTCTTTCCAATTGCTCATCTTCACGTCTTCATGGTATCAATACTGTTAACAATACTATTAATCGATTACAGCATCATCATCATCATGGTCAACAACAACAACAACAGCAACAACAACATAATCTTCATCATCAACAGCAATTTATCCGTTCACTGAATGATGCAAATTCAAATAATACTTTACGAGCTTCACAAGAGACACTTTCACTTCATCATCCCTCTCTTACATTGGGTGGTGGTGGTGGTGGTGTTGGAGTTCTCGGTGGTTTACCGAGACACATACCGGAAGTGAGTCCATACGCACCACCGGTTCCAATATATTTACATGAATATGAAGATATCTCATCAAATTTGGCCACCGAAAGTTATTCATTCATTGGACAACCTCGAGTCGGTGAACCAACAAACTCATATTATTATCATACCACAAGGTAAATATGAATTATTATTATATACATAGAAAATGATGAAAAGTTATCGAAAGTTTTAATATTAACAATCCCAATCACTAATCAATTTATTTTTACCTTTTATTTATCATTCAGATCACCAATTTATTATTCTGATCGTAAACAAATTTCACCTTGAGTGCATCTGGAAACGATAAATTAATACTGAATCTACATTGTATCTCACTCAGATATATCATGGAGATGTAAAAAATTGATGAAAAAAGGCACTAAAGTGACAAAGAGACAATATTGAGATGTAATAATTGTAAATCTAATTTTTTTTTCTCATGAATGGAAAACAATTTGATACTATTTTTGTATAACAAATGAAAAACATGGAGACTCGCACATGAAAATCCTCTGAAGTCGCCCTGAGAAACATGGACAGCCTCAGAATCAACAATTGAAACATTGGAAAATACATTGATTACTCTAATTGTAATAAAAATTTACTCCAATAATTTGTATTATAAAAACCTAGTCGTTCTCACTTTTCTCTCTCTCTCTTTTTGACAAATTTAATATAATAAAAAGAAAACACTAATTACAATTCAACTTTGATTCTTATTATTATTTCAAGTTCTCGGTTCATTGAAAGTTCTGCCAAAATATGATTGAGTTTTACATGGTTCTTTTTTCTAAGCTATCTATTCACATGAATCGTTGAAGACAGTGGATAAATTTGATTGTTCATCACGATGATAATCGATAAATTTTGAGAATGAATTTTGAAAGAAAGGAAAAAAATGAGTGAGAGATGAAACTTTTATATTGATTCGAATTGAGTCTAATCATTTGATTTCCTTTACTTAATTTCGAAAAGTTCTTATGGTTCAATCGAATTTGAAATTAACTTTAAATGTTTTTTTTCTTCCAATTCTCTGAGCTATTTCTATGATATTCACTATAAGAATTGAAATACATTTATATGGGAAATTCATGGTAATACATTGATGTTATTATTACTATTACCAGGGTAATACTTATGCTGGATATGATTGAGAAAATGATACAAGAATCAACTCATGAAACCACCATGAGTTTTGATTGTAGGCCAGAATTTATGAGACCAGGGAAGCGGGAATATAATAATTTATATTTGATTTATATTCGAATGAGAGAGAATAAGAAAAAACTTGTAATATATTAATAATAGAACCAACGAGTGTTCATCGAACTGAACTTTATGATGATTTCGAGTTTTCTCTCTCTCTCTCTCTCTCTCTCTCTTGTTTTTTTTGTTTCTCTTGTCAAGTTCGATGGGGAAAAAATTCTTCGACAAATTCTATTAACATTTGATAACAATTCGAAAAAACAATAACATAACCATAGTTGAAACTCGACCAAAAATACAGGCGATCTTCGAACTCAAAATCTCTTGGAATTGGTCGAGAAAAAAAAGATCGAAAACTTTTAACTTGGTTAACTTTTCTTTCATCTATTAATAAAGTTCTAATGGTCATTCAATCCAATCAACATTAGACATGAGGTTAAAACTAAATTGATTTAAATCAAATGATAAATATTAAATTGCTGATTCAAGTTGTTTGTCATTAATTTCATTTACTGATTAGACATTGAAAATTGTTTATCACCCTGAGGGCAAATACAAAATTTTCTACTACAAGATTTACCTGAACTTTAATATAAGTATTTTTTTTTCTCGTTCAAAACTCAATTGCAAAGGATAAAAAAACTTTTTGATTAGTTTTACTTTTGATTAATTTATATATTTGAGAAGGAAAAGAAAATAGTTTTTCGCAATCAATTAAATCACATTAAATTAACTATTTGAAAGGCAAAAAGTTATGATTGTTTGACGTTAATTGACTATTACTGTTAATTATAATTGTTAGAAGTTGATTATTGATTGAATTAGTGATAATGATAGCGTATATATATTGAGAAGGATACAAATATTAATAGTTTAAAGCTGATTAGTTGTTAGCTGATTGTTGATTATTATGATTTAATATCAATGAAAAATTAACTTAATCAAGTTGATCTTAATCTTAATCGATTCTCAGTGTTTAACTTTTTTTTTACTCATTAAATGATGATGATAATTAATTGATTAACAGTAAAGTTAATTTTTTGTTTTAACAAGTTTAACATTATAAGGGAACACTTTTAGCTCAGCAATTAATTAATTGCTGTGATTATGATTAAAATGGTATAAATATTATGGACAAAAGTTTGATAATTATTATTTAAAGTGATCAAAAAATTGATTAATTTAACTTGTTAATTGTTACCGTTTGTTGTTATCATTATAATTGATTGTTTAAGGTCAATTTTAATCAAATGTGTAGTATAACAATTATCAAGTAAATGTGATTAACACTAATCATTAATCAATGATTAAAGAAGAGGATTAGCTAGATAACAATTTAGACTAACAAGAATCTAATCAAATGACTGGAAAGTCAATTTAATTGTTGGTCAATTGATTAACATTGATTAATGATCATCATTAATGAAATTCAGATGAATGAAATAAATCAGTGATGAGCTTGAATTTATCATGAAAAGTTAACTCAAAGTGTTGGATAAGTTTATATGAATATGGAAATTTATTATCAGGATAAAGTTGATGATGATAATTGAATGAATTTAGATAATCAAATCTATTGAGAGACAATTTAATCAAATGTTGTTGTTTGATGGGAAAATCAGAAATGATAATAATAGTATTAGTGTTTTCCATGATTGAAATGAGATTGTCATTAACTCATCATCACCATGAACAAGATGAAATTGAAAATACAATGAGTAGATTCCTGATGAGATTAAGTGTAAAGTTGCTGATGAGGAAGGGAAAAAAAGTTCATTCATAATTTTCAATTAAAGATTAGGTTTGTTGTGTTGGGTGTAAGCCAAGATGATAATGAAGATGAAGATGATGATGATGGTGATGATAACTTAATCATAATCGTTTATAATCATTGTTATGTATTGTTAATCATACACACTCACACACTGATGATATTGTTTAATCACTTGTGTCTGGATGCTTATGTATATTGGTGTGAATGTGAATGTCTATTATAATTAACAACAATGGTGTTGGTAATCAATTATAATCACGATTGAAGTTGTGAGTTATTAAAAAAAAATATGAGATGATGAAGATGTGAAAATAATAATGATAATAATGATAATATTTCAATAGAGGAAATTTTCATTTTCTTTTACATAGAAACATAATAAGCTTTTCTTGAGTAGATTTTGTTTTTTCTTTCCATTGAAATTTCATTGTAAGTTTTTAGGGTGTTTTTCATATTATTAGTTTGTCAAGGAGGATGAGGTGGTGTTGGTGTTGGTGGTGATGGTGATGGAGAGGAGGAAAATGGTGTGATATTGGATGAGGGTGTAGGAAGTGATGAGGAAGATCGGGTGGGAGTGATAAGTATATAATGTTATTATCAAGATATTTTGTTGTCAAGTGATGGGGAAGTTATATAATGAAGATAGAAGGAGAGAGAAGAGTTTTTTAAGATGATGATGATGAGAAGAAGATGAAGATGAAGTTGACATTTTTTCTTCTCTGTCATAAGTAGTTATTGGAAAATTGGAAATCCTTCAAATTCCATGAGGCTGAGAAGATGAAATTGATGAGAAAAGATGAAGAAAATTATTGATGTTTTTCTACGAGTTTTACTCTCTCTCTCTCTCTCTCTCTCTCTCTCTCTCTCTCTCTCTGGATACGAAACCCAACATTTCCAATGGATGAACGGGTTCAAATTCTTATATATTATATATTTTAGGTGATAAAGTATCTCTTTCTGGTGGAAATTATTACTACATGGGAAATCAATGGAATTCATTGTAACTAAAAGATGTTTTTTTGATGATCTGATGAAAAGTTATAAGAGAATGAAAAAAAAAAGTTCTGAGAAAAGTTTTTCTTTTCTCTCACTCTCTTTGTCTTTACTTGTCACAGTGAATTCACCTCTACCCTGGTAAGAAAAATTGTCAATCTAATAAGTACATGTAACATTCGTATTTGATTTGATGCTTATATTAATCATAACGATCATCATGGTATCCGAAATATTTTTCTCTATTGATTGGGATAAGTTTCTTCTGAAGGATTAAAGATTCATTAGTTTTTCTCTTCATGATTAAAATTTGAAATACGAATTTTTAGAAAAAACATAAATAATGTTTTTCTTTTTGCTTTTTCTTTACTTGACTGATGAGCCTCTTGAGATTAAAGATGATGATGATGATAAAAGTGATGATAGTTTTCAACTGTTGAACTGATATTCAACATGATCATCATCTTAATCTTTATCTTCATTATCATCATCATCAAAATGCAATCTTTGTAAAAGTTAAGTGCAATATGTCATACCCCTAGCAAAAGATTAACCTTTGTGAAGATTATCATCCAAATGGATTATCACTACATGCAGAGAGTGAAGAAGATGAAATTAAGAAGAGAAAAATTATTTTATCAAGAATTTTTTTCTCTTAACTCATCATGATGATTGGAGAATCAGAAATATATAGTAAAGAGAAATAAGTGAGAGAGAGAGAGAGAGAGGGAGAGAAGTGATGGAGAAAATGGTTGTCATCAAGAAGATACAGATTACTTTTAAATGTCTTTTTAATATTAGAAGATGAAGACAAGTCAAGATCTAGAAAGAAGAGAGAAGTCATTTTCATCTTTATCTTCATCATTTTCATTTCATCTTCTCTTTTATCTTCATTGAACTCATCTCTTTCTTGGACACATCCTAGTATCACCGATAATGAAACTAAATTAATTTTTTAATCCTCTTTTCTTTTATCCATCCTCATCATTTTGTTATTTACTCTCCATCCTCATAATACTAATAGATGTCTTTCTCAGGACGAAAAGTCTTACTTTTTATTGGAAAAGACAAGATAAAGATACTGGACAACTATGGTCATAATGGTACTAAAAAATGACCATTTATGTTTAAGAGATAAGCGGATGATAAAAAAAACAACTCGAACTAATAACAACAACAACAAGAGTTTAGAAGTAATCAAATTATACTGATGAAAATTGAGAAACAGAGTATTGGTCAAGAGTAAGGAAACATTATCACCAATATTGGAATCTCATATTCCTATCATATTCACTAATCATCCTCATCACTTTAGATGAGAAAGTAAACATGCGAATGATTCACGCAAAAGCATCTCCATCTCAAAGTCTCTCTCACTAAATTTATCTCTTTCAATCAGTTTCATAGGTCAGACGATGACCACTGGCCTGTATTTTATTTATTGATATTAAATATATATCATCAGACAGCCATGTTATTAAGAGATATATTATAAAGTGAGATCAGTAAAAGCATAAAGTCAGTTGAACTTATTGAACACTTAGATGGTGATGCTAAAAGATGAGGATGATATTCATCTCTCTCTCTCTCTCTCTCTCTCTCTCTGCCATGTCTATTTGCGTGAATGATGCAAAAGTGAAATGTGCGTGTTCATGCCTTATGAATACACGCAAACTTTACGCTTCCCTTATCATCATCATTATCATCCTCATCTTCATCATCATCTACTAATTA